CATCCTGAATGCGAAGTAGTTATTTATTTTATTCTTTTATATAAGGCTGTCTCTGTTTCAGGAGTTTGATGGTCCTATAGTCAGGAGTTTGAAGGTTTGATAGTTGTATAATAAGAGAAAAAGAAGGAAGGAAAGAAGGAAATAATTCTGGTTGACAGGCTAGCAGGATGAAGTGGGAAAATATCCTGGAGTCCCCCAACCCCACCTTACCACATGCTGTGGAGAATGATTTTGTGGTTGTGTCTCCTTCCTGTATGTGATGCTAGGTAGGAGAGGAAAAGAAGCTGAGGAATTCACTAATCACAGCCCTGAAACTGTTTCTTTTTAAATCTGTAAGGATTGCCCCACTATCCCGCTTTCTTGCAGAAGAGTAGTAAGGCTGTATGGGCAGCACAAATTAGGTTGACCAATTTTTCTATTAATTCAAGGACATAGCCATGAGGAAGTACCTCTGTCTCCATAAATTTGCATGACTCCAAAACCTATTATTGTTCAAAAAGGAAAAAGGAGATATTAGAAATTCAGAGAGTAGAGAAGACTTATTAGTTCATAATGAACTAGCCATTAAAAACAGTGCACCTCTAAATTATAAACTAGGATTGTATTTAATATACAAAAATTAAACAGATCTTCCTCATTTGACTACTGTTTTGAATTTCTGGAGAAACAGTGGGATGTACCTGTAATAATAAGTTACTTAATAATAAAGTATTTGTAGCTGTATTTTAAATTTTGCTATTACTTAGTAGTTCATGAAGTAATGTAAAAGAAAAGTACTTTTAAAATGTAGACATAATTTAAAGAGTAAAACAGAGATTGGCAATGTTTATGAACTAGAGGCAGATTTGGAATATTGAGAGTATATGAAGGACTTAAAACACCTATTTACCAGAAAGAAAACAAGTCTCCAGTTGCCACCCAACAAGTAGCACATAAATTATTATCCTGCTATTAATAAATATGCAATAAATATGACACTAGAGGCTGTTGCTTTTCTTTGCAGAATGCAATCTTCATATTTATTTTTTTCAGCACTTTTTAAAGTCACTGGGCGGTATCTAGGGCACATTGGTGCCTGAAAGCATCATGTTTCCTTGTAATTTAATGTATTCTTTAGTTATCCTTTTAAAAGCTTTTAAAAATAATCTTGTATAAATTTCACTGCAGATATTTAGATTCAATTTAATTTTAAAGTGCCTATTATAATCTTTCTTTTCTTTTAGTTTTTCAGAATGCTTTTTTATTTACTAAACTATTTTTTGCAAGATACCTCTCTGATTTCATATAAGCACTATGAGTTTTTCATTCTTATTTATTTATTCATGTTACTTTTAGAGCTTCTTTATTTTATAACAAAGTTTCTAACTTACATTTAATTGTCACTCGTGAAAAAACAGCTTTTCAGCCAATTAAGTGTATAGGACACTAGATTACAAAGAAATTGAGGGTTTTTTGCTGTGAAAAATCCATTATTCATCATTGCATTGTTTTTAAATACTGTTCTAAATTTTTTTAACACAAAAGGAAAATTGCTTTTGCAGAAGAATAAATTGCCTGCCAGTTGAAAGGCTGCATTTTGAAGTCAAGTTACTAAACATGATACTTGCTTGTTATCTCAGAAGCTGGTTTGCGTATATTATTAAAATAACAGTCCTAGTTTTTAAAATACTTTTGAAAAATTTGGGTTTTTTAAAAGATGAATTAATAATTTACCTTCTGTAATTTCTGAAAGAATTGCAAGATATGTATGAACTTTAATGTGAAATAGAAATATATATTTTCCAGCAAATATTAGAATAGAGGCAAATTATGCTAACAGAAAAATAAAATAAGAGGCATTATTCATGTTTGGCAGCTAGAGGAACAAGTTGCACATGCAACAGTTAACTAATTGAGGTCAACAGTTGCCCAGTGAATTAGAATATTGGATTTTTTTGCCAGAATTCAAACAGAGGTTCCAGAAGCTTTATGCTAATGGAATAACAATACTGGATTCAATCTAATGAATGCATGATTTATAATTTCCAAACAAATTTGGGCAGAGATATAATAGAGGGAGAATGGACAAAAATTTTCTCTCTCCTTACCTCTAACTACTGTGAGAGTAGCCACAGTGTGTCAGATCAGAGAATGCCATCTAGGCCAGCATTCTGTTCCCACAAGAATCAACAAAATCCTCTAGAACAGCGTTTCCTAAACTTTTTGCTCTCAGGACCCCTTCCCACTTTTAAAAATTATGGAGGACCCTAAAAGAGCTGTATTTGTATGGGTTATATTTATCTATATTTACTGTATTAAAAATTAAAATTAACACATTTGTAGAATATTTATTTATTGAATCATGTAAAAATAATAGTATTAAGCCTATTTGATATTAACACAGATAAAATATTTTTCATGAAAAACCCTTTTTTTAAACAAAAAATAAGAGTAACATTGTTTTAAATTTTTGCAAATATCATTAACATCTGACAAATAATTTTGATTTTGCAGATCCCTGAGAGGATCTTGGGGGACCCCCAGGGGTCCTCGGATCACACTTTAAGAAATGCTGCTCTAGAAGGTCCAAAAACAAGATGTAACTGCAATAGCACAATTCTGTTCATGATTCCCAGAAACTATTACCAACAGACTTGCTGCTTTTACTGTTATTAATAATAACAGTATTATTATTATATAAACATTACAGTTTATATATAGTAACAGTTAATAATATATAAACATTACATGATTAATTGGCACGTGATAGTCCTCTCTTTCAAGAATTACCTCTTTTTAAAGCAATCTAAAATAGCTGTTATTACAGTTTCTGGGGTTAAATTCTACAAGTTAGAACTCTTATGACTTCTGTCATTCTTGCTTTTTGTGTTTGTTTTAACCGCCTTAAATAATTTATCGTCATCAGTAAATTTGGCCATCTCACTCCTGAATTCTAACTTCAGGTAATTTATGTGCAGTTAAGAAAAGAAACCTAGTTCCAATGTATATCTTTCAGGAACTTCCATCCTTAACTTGTGACTGATCATTTTTACAATTTGTTTTTTGTTGTTTAATCAGTTGCCAGTTCATAGAAGATGTCTTATTTCATGACTGATAATTTGTTCTGAAGGTTAACGATTCTGTAAAAAGACCACGATATCTATTAGATCACTTCCATCTTCAGTGGTACCTCAGTTCTCGAACTTAATTCATTCCACAATTCTGGTCGTGAACCAAATTGGTCGTGAACCAAATCAAATTTCCCCATAAGGTTCCATGTAAATAAGGTTAATCCGTTCTGAACCATATGTATTTTTTT